TTCAACTTTATTCAAAAGAGAAAATGAGCATGAGATGAATGTCAATTTGATGTGAGATGGAAGATGTGATGTAAGGTTGAATATGGACTGTAATGCAAAATGGGATGGGAAATGTGATGTGAACTAAGCATAGATGAGATTTTCATTTTTTATGCAACTTTTTTTTTTTTTTGAAACATGGGAAATATGAGAAATCTAAGATGGAGATAGTAATACTTGAAAAGGAATATGAGATGAAAAATGAAAATGGATGAAATTTTGTTTCCATGTAATTTTTTCAAAAATTTTTTTTTTTTGAAGTTTGAGATGGAAGTAGTAATGCTTAAAATGAAAACTTGAGATAGGAAATGCATGTGGATGAGATTTTTTTTTATATTTTGTGAAATTTTTTATATGAGATGGAAGATGTAATGTAATGAACATGGATAAAATTTCATTTTTTTTCTTTTTTCTTCTTTTTTTTTTTTTTTTGAAATTTTGTGAAATATGAGATGAAAATGAAATGGAGAATGTCACGTGAAATGAAAACATATTTTGTGATGCATGGGATGGAAAATGCAATGTAATGAACGTACGACATGTGAAAGGTTGATGACATGTAAAACAATTATGCAATTTTTTTTGTTTTTAATGATGTATGGAATAGAAAGTGAAAATGCCAAAGTGCATGGTGTCATGTAGTATTGAGTAGAAAGTGAAAGGCAAAGTGTGTGAATGAACGTGATGGATGTCATTATACTTGACACGGTTGACTTAATTAACACCTGCAAGTGCGAAAAGTAAGGTAAGATGTAAAATGCCCCCTTGTGTACCTAGACACAGGGAATCCTAACCTCACTGGTGGTTTTCTAGGCTGACAAGTCCTATGGGTGGTTTCTCCTTAAGTTCACTGCATGCTTTCTTAAAGGGCATTAGGCCTTCTCAACCATTTATCTTTTCAGAATCAATGGGAGATATTTCCAAAAGCTAATACATAGAATGATATTACATCATCAAGTGTCGTATTAACCAATGGAAACAACCTAATGAGAATTGATCTTACTCCTCAAAGCGGGAAGAATTGCTCTTCCAAGCCAGATTCGTAAGGATTCCAGACTAGAGGTCGGGTTCACCTCCAATATAGACCTGATGCAAAATGAGAGTGAGTGTGTTCAAGGGGCATGACAATCCGATAACCTACACAATGATAACCATAGAAAAAGGCAACATATATCCCGCAGTGAGCAAATAAAGCAAACAAGCAAATAAAACATGTAAAGCATTCAACAAATATATCACCCACAAACAAAACCTACTTACACAGCAGGAAGGGACTCACCTTGTACTCCCATGCCAAATGCAAAAAGTTAGTACATCCACATACAAGCAAGTAGGCATGTAAGCATGATGCATGATGAATAAACATGGGATATTAATGATGGATGAGCATGTGAAATGTTATGATGCATGCACATGTAAGCAAGGTATGATGCATGCCAAGATGTAGCCAAATAACTACTCAAAAGCAAAATAGTAAAGCAACAATCAAAACAACAAGAAAGAAAGAACAAACAAGAAACACATGCAATGAGTAACAAAGACCCACAAAGACTCAACAAACAAAGGAAAAATCAAAAGCTGAAAAATTCCCCAAAGTTAAAGTATTAGCTCGACCCTCATGAATCCAAAACATGAAAACCAGAGATTCTGGATTCAGTCCCCAGTGGAGTCGCCAATCTGTTGACGACCACTTAAAAAGGATTAAGCGTGAAAGATATAAGAAAAAGGGGAGTCGCCACTTGTCCAAATTGTAAGGTGGGACAAGTCACCTAAAACGGGTCTGCGCAGAGATCGGGGTTCGGGGGTTCAGTTAGGAGTGAGGAAGGGCATACGCGCACCTCACAATCCTCCGTTTAAACACGGTTGCATACTTTAAAATTGGGGGTTTTGAATCAACTTATTCATCATTTCTATGTTGAGTCTTAATAAGCAAACTTGAAAAAAAGAGATAAACCAA